GCTCCGTCGCTGGTGTTGCTGCTCTGGGATGAGCTCTGCCCCTACCTCGGCCTCTAGCACGACCTCGCCCTCGCCCTCTGCCCCTCGTGGGAGCTGCTACTGGGGGCTCAAGCTGCTGATAGGTGGATGAGGAAGCGCGTGTTCTCGCCATCTGCGAAAGAACAGAGTAAAAATTCAATTAGCATTGAGAAACAAAACCCCACGACAAGAAAGAATAAATGTGAAGTTTTTCCTAACTTTGTAGCCTCTGGGGGATAAATGCAGACATCTCCGTACCGATCCCTCAGACTCTACTAAGCTTGTCCGTAAATTATGAGACCTATATAACTTATAGCTCTGATACCAACTTGTCACGACTCAGATTTTCCACCCTCGGAAGTCATGATGGCGCCTACTCGTAGTAGCTAGGCAAGCCGCGAAATATAGAAATTACTAACTCTTTCATTTTTAACCCTTTTTAACAATCTGAATTAACAGGTAATCACATGTAAATATTAACGATAAATGAAACCAAGCGGAAGACTTAGTCTAATATAATAACCAAAACCAGTACGACAATGCGAACATACATCTCTTCCCGAAATCCGGTATCACAATATCACTGATGGACTATGATTACTACAACAAATGTCTGAAAGAAATACAATCTGTCTCGAAATCAAATCAAAACAGAGTACATAATAGGATAGAAGAGAATGCCGGGCTTGCGGATGCCTGCAGGACTACCTCGGAATCTCTAGCTGGACTGAAGGCAGCCTCCCCAAGTGCTACTATCCAAAAGCTGCTCCGAAATCTGCATATAGTGCAGAGTGTAGTATCAGCACAATCCGACCTCATGTGTTGGTAAGTGCCTAGCCTAACCTCGGCGAAGTAGTGATGAGGCTAGGACCAGACTACCAAATAAACCTGTGTAGTTATATAATATACGGTGGAAAATAAACAGAAATAAACAAATAAAGTTGGGAGGGGGTGCATGCTGCGGGGGAAATATCGAATCCAGCGAAAAATTAAAAGAAATACAAGAGAACAATTCAAGATCTACAAAAAAACAGTAATAACACTGTTGCGGCGCGCAACCCGATCCTTATCATTTAACATTGTTGCGGTGTGCAACCCGATCCATTTATATCATTGTTGCGGCATGCAACCCGATCCAATATAACATTTAACAACAATCATACCAAGAGTCCCGGCAAGGGATCAAAAAAGAACTACACTATCCCGACAAGGGATTCGACTGTAAAAATAAATACGTCACGGCAAGGGAGAAACAACTATAACCAATCTTATTCCAACATCTAACCATCTCAGCTAACACCAATACTCAGTCATAAGTAATTTCCACTAGAACAATCCTAATCCTTTCTCAATACCGAGAATCATCAATTAAAGCATCCGTATTATTATTTAAGAACACAACAAATTGCAATTTAAGACTCAGGGTCATGCTCGACACCAATGTATAGATACTCGTCACCATGCCTATACGTCGTACTCAACAAGAAGCAAGTAGCAAATAAGACACAACTCCTAATCCCTCAAGCTAAGGTTAGACCGAACACTTACCTCGAACTTCCACAGCCAACTCAAGCCTCAAACACCGCTTTTGAATTTGGCTCCAAATCAATTGTATCTAGACATAATCGACTTAATAACATCAATAAACGCCAAACAATCCAATTCCAATGCTTAATTATAGCTTCCATATCATTCTTCCCAAAAAGTCAAAAATTGACCTGGGCCCGCTTGGTCAAAACACGAGGTTCGGACCAAAACCCGATCACCAATTCACCCACGAGCCCGAATATATAATTAGTTCCAAAATTCTACCCCAAAACAAGGTCTAAATCCCAAATATACAAAAGCCCTAACTCTACCCAAATCCCTAATTTATTACCCTTAATCTCATGTTTTAGGCCTAAAAATCTAGTGGGTGTTGATAAAAATGGAAGAAAACGAGCTTAGGATTACATACCTATGAAGCTATGGTGAAGTTCCTCTTCAAAAATCGCCCAAGAGGTGTGGAGAAGAAGAAGTTTATGAAAAATGATGAAATTCCCGTAATACATTATATTTTTGAACTTAAAATAACTGGGCGGATTTTGGTCTATGCGTTCGCGATGAATTAAGCCTGAGTGGCCTTCGCGTTCGCGAAAATGTGCTCGCGTTCGCGGAGCACTAACTCCTCGAGCCTTCGCGTTCCTGTCCAGGTGGCTGCGTTCGCATAGAGCAATTTTTCCTTCCCCCTGCCCAGGCTCATAAGCCTTCGCGTTCGCGATACCAGGCCCGCGTTCGCGAAGAGAAAATCCCCCAAAGCTTCGCGTTCGCGTCCTGGGTTTCGCGTTTGCGTAAAAGGAAATTTCCTTCAGCATGAATAACTCAACGCGTTAGCGAGGGTCCTCCCGCAAACGCGAAGAAGAAAATACCAGCACACCAGAAACTGAAAAACCTGCAACTTTTATGAGTTCCAAAACCTTCCGAAACACATCCGAAACACATCCGAAACTCACCCGAGCCCTCGGGGCTCCAAACCAAACATACGTACTAACTCAAAAACATCATATGAACTTATCCGTGCGATCAAATCGCCAAAATAACCTCTTAAACAACGAATTAAACCTCTAAATCAATGAAATTTCTCAAAACTTCTTTAAACATCAAATTTTGCATTTAAGGTCTGAATCACGTCAAATGGATCCCGTTTCTTATCAAACTTTACCGACAACACATATAGATCATATTGAACCTGTACCGGGCTCCATAACCATAATACGGGCTCGATACCACAGGTTTCACATAACATTTCCCTTTCAAAAGCCTTTATATTTTTGAGAGAACAATTTCTTTTAAAAATACATTTCTCGGACTTGGGACCTCGGAATTCGATTCCGGGCATACGCACAAGTCCCATATTTTTCCACGGACCCTCGGGACCGTCAAATTACGGGTCCGGGTCCGGTTACCCAAAATGTTGACCGAAGTCAACTTAAATGTATTTAAGTCAAAATTTTAACATTTTCACAGATTTTTCACATATTAGCTTTCCCGCTACGCACCCGGACTGCGCATGCAAATCGAGGTCAAGCTGAAAGAGGTTTTTAAGGCCTCGGAACGCAGAATTCATTTTTAAAAACAAGTGATGACCTTTTAGGTCATCTCACCTTCGTGCTTTTAATATAGTACTAGCATAAAAATAGATCACATATTTTTAGAGTCCCATTAACAAATTTAATTGTTATTACCATTTTCACGGTAAACACCCTTTAAAAAGAAAAATAATTTTTTTAAGAAAAAGGAGAGAGAGAGAGGGGGATGACCTAGTTCAAATCCAATTCACACTCCTCAAATTGCAAGTTGATTACCGTGAACATTTTAACGGAAAGATCCAAATTTGAATATAAACTGATGATGAAAATTATAGTTGTGTAACATACTTTAAATAAGAAAATGACTTATAAGATCTTAATCAATAATAAGTACTAAATATTAGGACCTCCTATATAACTCAAAGTAAGGAAAATATTTAGTAACAAAACTTTGAATTGGTTTTAAAGTCCTAAATATTGGGAAAGTAATTTAAATTATAATTTTGTTCAATATAAAATTAACCAAATACTTTTACTTGGTAAGAACAACTCTCCGATGCTCAAAACTTAGTTGCTGATTGTGTGCAATGTTATTATGTTTATTTTCAGAAAATAAATTTTTTAAGTGATTTTAGCCAAACAAAATGAAGTACTTCCAGTAGAAAGGAAAATTTGAGAACGTTAATTTACATTGTTTTCGGCCTCTTCTGTTACCTTTCCCCTAAATATTAGGAAAAATATAGGTATTGTTGTATCATAATTAAAGTGAATCATTTATATAAGGTAAACTCTTCATTGACTATTAAATTTAGTTGATGTAAAAGTCCTAAATATTAGGAAAATAAGTAAAATGACAATTTTATTTAATGCAAAATTTATTTTTAAAGAGCAAAAAAGACGAACGACATTTCACTAAGGGCATTCGTGCTTTTAATATAGTATAGATATAGATAGATAGATAGATAATTTATATTTACAATTACAATATTATCCAATATAAAGTATACTTATTAAGGGTAAAAAGGCGAACGACATTTCGCGAAGGGCCTTCGTGCTTTAATTTTAATATATAAAATATAGACGAGTAATTACAAGCTTACTTTAATTTTGAGAATTTGGGTATTATATTAAGGACTTATTCAACAATTTTGTTTTAATTTGAAAAAGCTTCTTGGGCTTACACCTCACTACAAAAATACACCTCACCACCCGGGTATACGCCTCGAATTGCTAGGCGTATGCCTCTTGAGACTTTCGCCCCCACCTTCGTTTCGGGGCATTTTTGGTGCGCCTCACCCTAGGGTTCGCCTAAAAAATGCCTTTTAAAACGCTGATCTAAATCGTATGACACTCTACTGAATTGATATATATATATATATATATATATATGAATTTTATACACTTTTACGCAATCAGATATAAATAGTTTTGGCCGTGAAGCTAAAAGTGATCTCTGTCCATGAAGAAAACACTAGTCGGATCTACACATCCAAATATCTTATCAATGAAAGTACTAAATTAGTGGTGACAAAGAAATCCATGAAGATAGGCTGATAAATTCACGGTAGATTGTAAATAGTAAACCCTTCATATTTAGAATAGTAGTTTCCTTTAACCCCTCTCTCTCTCTATATATATTGTAAAAAGAATTTGTAGTACTATTTACCAAAATTAGTAGTATTATATTATAACCACAAATATGTAACAGAATTAGTATGTCTATCCATACAAAAATACATATATATCTGATATTACACAAAATAATGATGACTCGGGATATAGAAAATAAGTAGTGAAGCTGAATAATCGGAAATTGATGGCCGCCTTTGACATTAGCATTTTTTCTTTTTGGTTTTCCTATGAAAAATTGATCCTTTAAATTATTGAGGGAAACAAGTTATGTTTCTTCCTCTTTTACAATTCTCTATTATTTATTAACATTGCTCTCCTTCTTCCCCTACCCTCCACCCTCTCTATCTCCATCTATATATATAATAAAAATATATATATACCCATGTAGAATTAAGCAACTCCACTTTTGGGATCTTCAAATATAATTTGAAGACCCCATAAAATTTCAGTTTGTGTCAATAAAGGTATCACCTTTGATTATACTGCGCAAGTAAGGTAAAAATAACTCCTCGAAAAAAAAGAAAAACCTTTAGCGCAACAGTAAAGATGTCCGGAAAATTGCTGTGAAGTTGAATTTTTCAAGGAATTAAAAAAAGGGGCAAGATGAGGTTTATTATAGGCATATATTTCATAATTTTGTGCATGGCAATTCGAGTAAACAGCTTTGTGGGCATAACATGGGGCAGAATGCAGTCACAACAATTAGTTCCATCAATGGTTGTTGACTTACTTTTACAAAATCAAATTCCAGCGGTGAGATTAAGAACTTCAGGCTCTGATATTAGTGAAATATTTTCTGGTACTAATATTAGCCTCGCTATTACCTTGGTAAATAATTACATGTGGCAGGCAAATAGGACAGACCTCGCGTATACTTGGGTAAATGACCGAGTCAAGAATCCAATCAACAAAGGTGTAAATATAGTGTACGTATTCTATCCTTTTTATTTAAGGAACTATTATTATTGCAATCTCACGTGTTGTGCCATTTGTTCCTATTATATTATTATTATTATTATTATTATTATTATTATTATTATTATTATTATTATTATTATTATTATTGTTTGTTACTTTATTTTCACTGTTTCTTGAGCTGAGAGTCTATCGAAAACAGTCTCTCTACCTTCACAAGAGAAGCCAGGGTAAGATCTGCATACACACTACCTTCTCCAGACCCTACATGTGGAATTACACTGGATTTTATTATTGTTGTGCCATTTGTTCCTATTATATTCTCGTTGCTACTGTTTATTTACTTTATTTTTACCGTTCCTTGAGCTAGAGGCGGAGCTAGGATTTGAACCTTATGGGTTTAGGATTGTAACTCTTTTAAGTTACTGAGTTCTAAATTAATAATTTCTATGTATTCAGTAGATTTCTTAATACAATACAAATATAGGGTTTGCATAAAATTAGCTACTGGGTTCGGCCGAACCCGCAATCAACACCGTGGCTCCACCCCTGCCTTGAGCCAAAGGTATATCGAAAATAGTCTCTCTACCTTCACAAGGAAGGGGTAAGGTCTGCGTAAACACTACCGCTCCCAAACCCAACCTGTGAGATTACACTGGATTTTTTTTTTTTTTTTTTTTTTTTTTTTTTTTTTTTTTTTTTTTTTTTTTTTTTTGTATTATTGCCGCCTTACTTAGACTTTATGATTTTATTTCCTTAATATATGTTCTTACATTTTTTCAGATATTTAACCGTTGGGACTGAACCATTTTCGAATACGTTTATGAAAGAAGCAAGGACCGATCAAGTTGTGAACGTAATAAAATTAATACGGCAAGCTCTTGACGATATGGGATTAGGGTATGTCAAAACTACAACTTCCCATGGCATGGATGTTTTAAAGCTTACAAAAATTCCATCAGAAGCCGATTTTCGCGATGATATAAAACAACAAATGCTTGAATCGTTAGAGTTCTATAATCAAACTGGAGCACCCTTTGATTTGATCATGTTTCCAATCCATTACATTAAAGAAGTATTGAATTACACTATGGAATTCGCGTACTTTGATAATAAGAGCGGGTTCAAGATTCAAGATGGTAAGTTTACGTACACAAATGTTGTAGAGCTAATGATTGATTCCGTTGCATGGGCAATAAGAAAAGCAGGTTACCCTAATATGAAAATTATGATAGGTCAAATTGGTTGGCCAACAGACGGATATCCACATGCAAATATTGAAAATGCAGAGAGATTTCATAAGGGTTTCTTGAAATTTATAGCTTCAAATAAAGGAACACCTCTTAAGCCAGGTCCTATAGATGTATTTCTCCATAGTTTATCAGATGAGAATCAATTTCGTGCTATATTTGGTGCATTTCAAAGACACTGGGGAATTTACGAAGCAGATGGAAATCCAAAATACAAGATTGATTTTTCATTACAAGATCGTGATACTTATCCAACTCAGGCTAAGGGGATTGTGAAAATGCCAAATAGGTGGTGTTTGTTTAATGGAAATAGAGAAGACATGGATTTGGTAAATAAGAATTATAATTTTGCATGCAATATAGCAGATTGTACGTCCCTGGAAAAAGGAGGATCGTGTGATGGACTAAGTGATGATTCTAAAGTTTCTTATGCTTTTAATGTATTCTTCCAAAAGCATAAGCAGCAAGTAGAATTGTGTGATTTTGATGGTTTAGGTGAAATTAGAGCAGAAAATCCATCAACGGGTAACTGCGAGTTTCCTGTAGAGATATTGACATTCCAAGATCAAGCAGTTAAAGATGGTATGATTTTAAGAATTTGATAAATACGAAATACTTTGTGCACTGAGGTGTCCTACCACGAAAGATCTAATATGATGGAATTGATTATGACATAATTTAAATAGAAATGGAATCAAAGTTTTCGTCTACCACAAATAGCAAAGGCATTGTATGTCATGTAACGAGTGTGAAAAACATGGTTGTTGATCAAAAAATATATTTCAATTAATTAAAGGGTATTACTTTCTATATTGCTTTTTGCCTTCATATTAGTGCCTATTTATATCTAGGCAACTAAATGATATCGCAACCAAAATTCTTCACGGAAATGTGTGCTTAGGGCCCGTCTGGCCATAAAAAAGATTTCTTTTTCTCAAACCAATTTTATTTTTTTGGAATTAGCGTTTGGCCATAAAAATTTTAACTTTTCACAAGTTGAATTTCAGAATTTTTAGAAATTTAAAAACTCCAAAAAGTTATTTTTCAAAATTTTCACTTCAAAACACTCACAAAAATTCAAAAGCAACTCCAAATTGTATTCATGTTCAAACACAACTGTAATTTTCAAATACCATTTTTAACTTGAAAAATAAAATTCACTTTTTTCGTAATTTCACAATTCTTATTTCCAAACGCTCACTCAATCTTACACCACTTTTTTGGAAAAGGAAAAAAGGGAGGGAAAAGAGAGCGCATTTTCAAAGTATAAAATAAAAACTAAAAATAATAATAATGGTTGTCAAAATAAATAAAATATATAAGAAAGTGCTCTTATTTTTTTTCAATTTTCTCTTATTGTTATATTTCTTTATGATTACTCTTGCAAAACTAGACTTTTTGATTCCGAATATGCATTTCGATCAAATATTTATTTTTTGTCGGTCTACAAAATTTCGGTGAATTATTGAAACTAGAAGATAATATTATGTATACGCCACATACATATAAGGACTTGTCCAGTAATTGTAGTCCCTTTAAAGTATTGTGTTCGTGACAAGTGGAATGGAAGAATCATAACAAAGAAAATCTTTATTTTGCTAAAATATACTATGCAACTTCCTGATACGGATAGGAATGTTGAATATAACACAATCCCAAATGAAAACAACAAGAACAAGAACAATAAAAATGAAACAAAGATTATTCAAACGAGAGAAAACTAATAAAGGCCCTAATTGTGGTAATATAATTGACAAATTATTTACCCTAAAAACGGATAATAATTGAATTTATATGTGGTTTTAAGGACATGTGATTGTGATGACCCAAAAGGTCATCTTATAATTTAAAATATAATTCTGCGTTCCGCAATTTGTCCCTTTTTGATTTGCGTGCGCAGTCCGGACGCCCTTTCGGAAAACCTTTATGTGAAAAATTGATAAAAGTAATAATTTTTAGCTTAAAAAACTTATTTTAGTTGACTTCGGTTAATGTTTTAGGTAAATGGATCCGGACCCGGTGGGTCCAAAGAAAAATATGAGACATGGGCGTATGCCCAAAATCGAATTTCGAGGTCCCAAGCCCGAGAAATAATTTTTTGATGAAAATTGTAAGACTGAAATTCTAAGAAATTAATTAATGTTTGATCTCATTGATATCAGGCCCGTATTTTGGTTCCGGAACAGGTTTAACATAATATTTAAGTTATGTCTGTGAAATTTGATGAAAAACGGAGTTTAGTTGACGTGTTTCGGACCTTGGATTGAGAAAATAGAAGTTTGAAACTATTTTGAAAATTTCATGCAATTTGGTGCTAAATCCGTAGTTGATGATGTTATTTTGGCGATTTGATCGCGCGAGCAAGCTCATGTGATGTTTTAAGACTTGTGTGCATGTTCGGTTTGGAGCCCCGAGGGCTTGGGTGAGTTTCGGATAGGTTGCGGGATGTCTAGGCTTAGAAAAGACCTGGTGTAGAATAGTTGCAGAGTAGTAGGTCTCTGAACCTAGAAGTGCGGTCGCGGAGTAAAATTCACGGACCGTAGTAGAAAGACGCGGCCGCGCTGAAAACTTCACGGACCGCGGTGGAGGGCTTTGCAAACCGCGATGGGTAAGGCCAAAATTTCTGCGGCCGCGCCCATTAATTCGCGGACAATGGTGAGGTTCGTGGCCGCCGGTTTTTTGCAGCCCGCGTAATGGGGATCTGAGAAGGCTATATAAACGGGACTTTTCATCCATTTTTTAATTTTTCAAAATCCTAAAACATAAGAGGCGATTTTTCAAATACTCTTTCTTCCCCAAATCATAAGTAAGTGATTTTAAACTCATTTCTTTCACTCTTTAACTTCTTTTTACAAGGTTTCATCCTAGAATCTAGGGTTTTCATGGTGTAATTGGGAATTGTTGGGGTAAAACTTAGGAATTTTGAAATTTGGGGATTTATACCTCTAATTGAGGTCGGATTCCAAAACTAATTGTATATCCGGGATTGGAGATGAATGAGTAATCGGGTTTTGGTCCGAATTTCGGGTTTGGACCAAACGGGCCCGGGTATTAACTTTTGTTGACTTTTTTAAAAATGGCCTAAATTGAATTCTTTGATATCATGGGTAGTTCCTAAGGCTTAAATTGAATTGTTTGGTTAGTAATTTGCTAGATTCTATTGGTCTGGAGGCTGGTGTAAAGGGAAAAGCTGTGGTTAAGCTTTGAGTTTGGCCCTTGGAGCGAGGTAAGTATTGGGTCTAACCCTGGCTTGAGGGATTAAGTATTATCTGCCTTTTTGCTACGTGTTTTGATGTTATGTACAACGTATACGTAAGGTGAAGGGTACCTATGTGTTGTTGTCGGGTCATATCATGCGAGTTAGTCTAATTCTTGTAACTGTGGTACTCTTTGATCATATATTCCATGTTTAGACTCGATCTTCCATGTATTGAGAAATTCTTATCATGTTGTATGGAATTGGGTATTGATTGAGTGTTGTCTCAGAGTTGAGGCTGGTATTGTGGAATTAAACGTTAAAGTAAGACTGGTTATGATATTTCTATCTCCCTATTGTTATGATATCTCCACCTTCCTGTTGTTATTGATCATTGTTTTGGCAAGGGAGAGTGTTAAAGCACGAAGGGTGATGCTGTGCAATATTTTGTAAGTGACTGATAATGCACGAAGGGTGATGTCGTGCCATATTCTGTAAGTGATAAAGCACGAAGGGTGAAGTCGTGTCATATTCTGTGAGTGTTAAGGCACGAAGGGTGATGCCATGCCATGTTATGAGAGAGTTAAAGCATGAAGGGTGATGCCGTGCCATTTCTATTATTTCTTATGGTGAGGATGAGAGTAAAAGCACGAAAGGGAATGTCGTATACTTGTTTTGCTATGTCTATCACTTTCATTGGTGCATGCATATTGTTTAATGCGTTTCTTCATTGTTATTGTTTTCTTAACCTGATTTTCTTCCCCCTCAGCATGTTATCCCCTTTCTCGTTATTTACTGATTAAATTCTACTTGTTGTTATTTTCTCGTATATGATTTAGCTGCACAGGTTCATGTTACTGTCTTGTCCTAGCCTCGTCACTACTTCGCCGAGGTTAGGCTTGACACTTACAAGTACATGGGGTCGGTTGTACTGATACTGCACTCTGCACATTATGCAGATTTTGGTGTAGGACAGTGCGGCTCAGAGTTTGGGTTGCTGCCTTCAGTCCACATGAGACCAAAGGTAGATCTGCCGGTGTTCGCAGACCCTGGAGTTCCCTTCCTAATATCCTAGTTTCTCTGTTTTCCTGTATTTCGAGGACATGTGTATTTCTTTTAAACCAATATTTGTAGTAACTCTTAGAAGTTCGTGGATTGTGACACCAAATCTTTTGGGTAGTCGTGTTTTAGTGTTTTAAACTATTATAAATTTCCGCACTTCTTATTTGTTTAGTTCAAATTATTATAAATTACTGTTTTGGTTAAGGATTAATGTGTTAGAACTGTATCTGTTGGCTTGCCTAGCATTCTAAGAGTTAGGCGCCATCATGATCCCGACGGTGGAAAATCCGGGTTATGACAAGTTGGTATCAGAGCACTAGGTTACTTAGGTCTCACGATTCACGAACATGCTTCATTAAGTCTGGGGGATCGGTACGTAGACGTCTGTATTTATCTCCCAAAGGCTACAGAGTTTAGGAGTAAATTTACTTCTATTCTTCCCTATCGTGTGATGTTGTTCTCTCATTGCTAATTGAACTCTTCTACTTTGTTCTCTCACAGATGGAGAGAACGCATACCACTTTATTAGCTGATCAGCAGCTCGAGACCCTAGTGGCAGCTCCTACGAGGGGCAGAGGTCGAGGCCGAGTTCATGCTAGAGGCTGAGGAAGGGAGAGGGCTCAGCCTAGAGCTCAAGCAGCAGCACCAACATTGGGTCCTCAGGTGGAGTTTGATGATGAGGTTCTGGCCCAGACAGTTCCAGCAGGACCAGCTGAGGTCCCGAAGGGGTTCATAGCCACCCAGTGCTTCAGGATGCTTTGGTCCATCTTGTGGGACTTATAGAGAGTGTTGCTTAGACTGGCACATTTCCTATAGCACCAGTCTCTCAGGCTGGGGGAGGAGCCTAGACTCCCGCTACTCACACTCCAGAGTAAATGGCTCCCCAGTTTTAGACTCCAATAGCGCAACCAGTTGGGATAGTTCCGTTGGGTGTTGTAGTACAGACCGGTGATAGATCAGCTATGACTTCTGAGGCCTTATGGAGGTTGGATAGGTTTACCAAGCTTTTCACCACTACTTATGGCGGTACATCTTCAGAGGATCCCCAGGACTATCTCGACACTTGTCACGAGGTATTACGAAACATGGGGATAGTGGAGACCAATGTGGTCGATTTTGCTGCCTTTCGTCTGTCAGGTTCTGCCAAGAGATGGTGGAATGATTTTGTGTTGACTAGACAAGCTGGGTCTCCTGCCTTGACTTGGGAACAGTTCTCTCAACTATTTCTCGAGAAGTTCCTTCCTATCACTCAAAGAGAGGACTACCGTAGACGGTTCGAGCGTCTTCAGCAGGGTTCTATGACTATCACCCAGTATGAGACTAGGTTCATTGATTTGGTTGGTCATGCTCTTATTATACTTCCTACCGAGAGAGAGAGGGTGAGGAGGTTTATTGAGGGACTTGCTCAGCCTATCAGATTGCAGATGCCTAAGGAGATAGGGAGCGAGATTTCTTTCCAGGATGTAGCCAATGTGACCAGACGAGTTGAGATAGTTTTAGCTCAGGGGAGTGGTCAGGGGTCTGACAAGAGG